ATGCCTCAGAGAATTATAGTAGATGTGTATGTTCAAGCAATAAGTTCGTGCCTCAGAGAATTATTGTAGGTGTGTATGTCCAAGCAATAAGTTTATGCCTCAGAGAATTATGATAGGTGTTTATGTCCAAGTAATAAGTTTGTGCCTCAGAGAATTATGATAGGTGTGTATGTCCAAGCAATAAGTTTGTGCCTCAGAGAATTATAGTAGGTGTGTATGTCCAAGCAATAAGTTCATGCCTCAGAGAATTATAGTAGATGTGTATGTTCAAGCAATAAGTTCGTGCCTCAGAGAATTATGAATAATCAATCCTTAGTATTGTCTATAAGTATTGGTAGTTTTGTTAACAGGCAACTTATTTTAAACTTATTTTTTCTTCTAGCAATATATTTCTTTACATGTTTTACTTTGATATATATTAACTTTAATATTTAAGAACCATGCATGTCAGAAGGCCATTCTTTTCACTGTAAACACCATCTGCCTGTTAAGTGACCACTTCACTAATTCAAAAATAATACATTAAACATTTATATCCATTGACTCGTGTAACAAATATGTTAGTGTATTCTGGGTAAAATCTTTATCTGCTAGATATGTTGTAACTAAGAGGCCTGTATATAGATTTTCAAAACTTAGTCACATTATTTACATATTTAAATCTATAGCCGTAGTTTTATCAGTCAAGAATTTATAGTTTTCTGTTTATCAGTTTTTTTTAAACTTTCAATTCTTTTAAAGATGTGCTCAAGTTTACTGCAGTGATTGAACAAATTAAGATAATTTTCAATGCCCTTCTTCTCCATGACCTGATGCTTACCTGTGTAACAATCAGTGACCCCAAAATATATGCATAAAACAGCAACAGAGCATTTCAGGACACTTTCCATAATACCTCAAAGTAACAGTATTTTTTCAGCCTTCTGATTGTCTATAAATATAATCAGTATCCATATGTATTTGTGATTATTAGGAATTAGTATTTTGTTCTATCTTTATAGCTTCAGCTTACCTTTCAGTATTTTCCATAAACCCTTTCTTTTGGAAATGTAAGGTAAAAACAAGTTTTTTTAATTGTTCAGAATCAAAACAACTGAAAGATTACATGTAATTAAAACATTCTTTTATTTAAAATTTAAAAAGTTATGGATTTCAACTTTTCATTCAAAAGTAAATATACTAAAAGTATTTCTTTGGGAGATAAGTTATATTCTACAATCCATAAAATAGCTACAATGTTATTTATACAGTTATGCCAGTCTGTTGTCTTCACACCTCAGGACCAAAAAATTTCAGTCATCACTTTGGTTTTGTGCAAGTTATGCTCATGAAGGAACATCCAACAGATAATAAATGATGATTAGATATCACTTGCTCTCATCACATCCCGTTTTCCATCTTTATTTCCAGCTGATTAATGGATGATATTACACTGAATCTGCACTTTTCCTTCTTATTATGTCACTGGACAAAATTGGAATTGTTATTTAAATAAAATACACCTTGTATTGTTTATTGGAAAGTACCAAGAATATGGTCAACAATTATAATTTGAATAGAAATAATCTCTGGTCTCTACTGTAAAGGAACAGCGAAACTCCACTTGTTGCAACATGAAAAATGAACGAAATAAAGTTATGCATATAATGCTGAACTTCCTGCATCTCCTCCATTCCTACCACAAATGCCTTCAACACCTAAAACCTTTTGAGGTCTAAAACGTGTACTTGTAGAGAGATATTTTAAAGTGGAAGCCGTACGGCTTTAATAAAGTTTTTAGTGTGTAAATATAAAATGTTGTTTTTAATTATTTATTATAATTGAAAAAATAATTTTAACATATTCTTTATATGAATTATATATTTGACTGTCTGATGTACTTTTTTTTTGCCCATTGAATCAGCTATATATGTAATTAATCAAATCTTGCACAATCAATAATGACTTATGGTCAAATTTCATTGTGACCCGTGTTCCAGATTGCAAAATATCATTACCACTTGGG